AACTTTCTTAATATGTGTAGCACCAAAAAGTTAAAGAATATGAAGCTGGGTGTTAAACAATATGTATTGTGTATTGTATCAGCCCTTATATGAAGCTAGGTGTTAAACAATATGTATTGTGTATTGTATCAGTCTTGATATTAAGCTGGGTGTTAAACAATGTGTATTGTGTATTGTATCAGCCTTAATATGAAGCTGGGTGTTAAACAATATGTATTGTGTATTGTATCAGCCCTTATATGAAGCTGGGTGTTAAACAATATGTATTGTGTATTGTATCAGTCTTGATGTGAAGCTGGGTGTTGAGTAATATGAGTAGATTTATTCTGTATTAGGTTATTTTTCTTGAATAATATGATCACATAAATGCTTAAAAACTGGTATAATATGATAAGGAACACAATGAAAACAACAACAAATATTCCATATTACACAGATGTTTTTAAATAGTTTCAAGACTTGTGAATCAGATTGCAGAAAACTAAAGAAAATACTCCAGCTTTATAATTTTTCGATCACTGTTTAAAAGGGAAACTTAGACACTTTTGATCAAATTCATTCCCCACCAAGGAGTACAGAAAACATTTTTATGGATATTTTTAACAGATGTGAATGAGTGTGAAGTTTTTCCAAATCTCTGCCAAGGCGGAGGACTCTGTGTCAACACTGAAGGATCTTATCGTTGTAACTGTCCACCAGGTTTAACCTTAGATCCAAGTGGTAACAGTTGTGTTGGTATGTATCCTTTTCATTTGTATATCAAGTTAGTTCTTAATAGTGAATTAGTATCATATTTTAATATTTATCATCAGTAAAGAAGTTTGTTCAGAAGGTCTTGTACTATATTGTTTGACACTTGTTTATTCAGATGAAGATAAATGCTATCCTTTGAGATCAACAAACTTTATTTTTTAAATACCATAATAAAAGCTTTATATTACAGTTATTAAATGAACATTAATTTGACACTTAAAGGCCACTGTTTTAATCCTAGAAAGTTGAATCATTACTTGTTTTATTTTTAAAAGTTTGTGTCACTGTTACCCATATTTTTAATTTATCATCAGACCTGAGAGAAGAGTTATGTTATGCTGATTATGAAGGTGGTCATTGTATTAGCCCATTCAGTGGTCTACACAGGAAGATGTTGTGTTGTTGCTCTGTGGGAAAGGCTTGGGGTCATTCCTGTGAACCATGTCCTCAACCAGGATCATGTAGGTTTCTTTTAAAACTTCCCTCAGTCATCTTTTTTTTTTTTCTAGAATATTAGTTTAAATATTTGATATAAGTACATTGAAGCTTTTATTTTCCATAGTTGACACTAGTTAGTGTAAGTGGTTACATGCAAATTTCATTCTACAGAAGACTATTTGGTACTGAATATTTATATATATAAAGATAAAGAAGCTCTGTAGTTTCCCTCTAGGAAATTAGGAAGTTTATCTTTTCTAGGAGATTAATTGGTTATTAATATACTTGTAGAGAAACTTCTTTGTCCATAGAAGATCAGTTAAATTAATGGATATAAATACAAGGATGTTTCCTTTCATACAAAATTAACCAATTCTATATATCTTTATTTATTTTTACCCTTTATGACCTTAATCCCAACTATGTTTGGGGTCGGCTGGTATTGCTGTAGGCCAATAATTTATGCACTCAAGTGGCTAACCCAGTCAGCAATTATATAGGGTGAGCATGTTTGGTTTTGGGGATTCAAAATTGTGACCCTCAGATTGGGAGTTGAGTGCCCTAACCTCCAGACCATGCCAGACCCATATGCCTTTATTAGAAAACTTTATTTTATCACTAAGTAATTATTCAGTTATCCTTGTCTTTGTCTCCAAGTGTAAGGGCAATGGAAATTCTTTTTTTTTTCTGTTGGAGATAAGTTAAAATTGAATATCTTTATTCCAAAGTACCCTTTTGGCCCCAGGATATTAATTGTAATGCTAGATATAAGTGTACAGAAATTTCTTTTTTTCTAAAAAAGATTAATTGGTGCTACATATCTTAAGAAAGTTTTAAGGCTGATACAATACACAATACACATTGTTTAACACCCAGCTTAATATCAAGACTGATACAATACACAATACATATTGTTTAACACCTAGCTTCATATAAGGGCTGATACAATACACAATACATATTGTTTAACACCCAGCTTCATTTCAAAGCTGACACAATATACAATACATATTGTTTAACACCTAGCTTCATATAAAGGCTGATACAATACACAATACACATTGTTTAACACCCAGCTTCATTTCAAAGCTGATGCAATATACAATACATATTGTTTAACACCTAGCTTCATATAAAGGCTGATACAATACACAATACACATTGTTTAACACCCAGCTTAATATCAAGACTGATACAATACACAATACACATTGTTTAACACCCAGCTTAATATCAAGACTGA